ATATGAGGTAAACTTATGACTTGTTCCATGTAGCTTTCTCATGGCAAGTCGGTCAAGTACCTTGTACTCTTTCAAATACCTACGATTTTAATTTATATCTTTATAATTAATTAAAATCATACTAGTTTTGTTTCATGAATGATCCCTTATAGATGACCAACTAAGAACATTTAAGACAATCACTATAGTTTGTCCAAGGATATAGTTATCATAATAAACATATAATTAATATGATAATAAAAGAGAAATTTATTAAATAATAATATGTAGATTATAATGATTAGTTTATGGCACAATTTTCAACAAATCACTGATACATTTCATCCAAATCCAACTGCCAACCAACTTTGTTTTTAACCATGATAGGATGGCAACGTTAGCCATCCAATCCTTTTTTTTTTTTTTTGGCCAGATGTTCATCCAATCTTTAAATGTACATAGTACTTTACATTCATCTTTATCTTTCCATTGGTAGTGGTGCTTTTGTGGTTTTATAGAGAGAGTATTTTTCTTTCCTTTATTTTAATAATTATTATATTTATTTTTATTCTTTTTCCCCCTTATTAAATATTGGGAAGATAATTAAATATTAAACTATTTAATTTTTAAAGTATATATATTTAATAAGGATAAAGTTAAAAACTCATTGAATTTTTAAAAAGAATTAATGAAGTTTAAAATTTTTTTAGTACAGTAAAAATGTTAGAAGTGATTTATCAATAAGATTAAGAAAAAATTATGGTCTAAATATGTAATTTTTTTTTCTCATGGTATGTCTTTCTCAGTATCCTTAACTTCTTTATTATGAAGAGTGAAAAGAAGTATTTAGTCAAATTAATTATATTTTTTATACATAAGATAATTAATACAATAATAAATTAAAAAATGATTTTAAAAAGTACCAAGTGTCCAAAATTTTTGACCAAACTTGGCTGAAAAAAATGTCTTACGGTTCATACAAGAAGGGAGTAATAACTATTTGAGCGGCCATCTGTATAATCTTATCCAAGAAAATCTTTGTCATATATGTAGCAAGCCTACTAGCAATGACATCAATAAAGTCAATCTAAAATTTGACCTGTGTATTAGTTATATTTATAGGTTTTTACTGCCTCTTGTCGTACTTATAGGACAGAAAAAAAAATTTTCTAATCATAATTATAAATCATTTTATTAAATTTTTATAATAATTTTTTTACCTTTCATTAAATATTGATAATTGTAAGTAATTTTCAACTATAATCTGCATATCAATGAAATTTCAGTTATATTCATAGTCCCCCTTTTTACCCTTAACCCCAACAAACAATGATGAATTAAATTAGAAAGAAAGTATTTATATCAAAAGTTTTTAAGGAGGGATGCATGTGGGAAAAACATAAAGGAAAATAACAATTAAAGACCTTATAAGACCATCAACTGCAATTAGGGATACTGAATTGTCAAAATCCGGATAATAGACCATGATTTTTTTTTTTTTTGGAGTTGAAAACATGAGTTTAAATTATGAAAAGAAACCACTAAGATTGTTGTTGTTGTTATGGACTGGAATTATTATTAATTTTAGATGGGAAAACCAACATCTATACTTGAGAATGAATTGTTTCCTAGTATAAAACTAAAAATCACTTGTAAAACTTTTTAAAGACAATTGTGGATGTACAATAGTCATTTAAAAATTTACTAAAGCCACTTCTAAATATGAAGCTAATCACTTGTCAATTTTTATACTTGTCAATACATAAGTAAATCACTTTAAAAATTAGTAAAAAATATTATTGAAATTACTATCATGGGTTAGGACTACTGTTAATTTCAGCTAAAAAAATTAGGATTCCAAATGTTATGAATTGTGACTACTGAAATTATTATTATGGGTTGAAACTATTGTTAATTTCATTCTCAAGTGTGAATCTTAGTTTTCTAACTGAGGTTAATAACAATACCAATCCAAAAAAGTAATTTCAGTAGTTTCTTTATTTTCTTGATTTTAAACTTGTAAGTTTTTTATTTTAAATAAGGATCATGATTCATTATTAGGATTTCAATAATTTAGTATCCTTAATTGTAATTAATGGTCTTCTAAAGTTCTTAATTGTCATTTTTCCAGAACAGAATGATATAAAACTAATCACCAATAGAGTAAGAAGGAGTTGATAAATTCTCATGCTACATGAGAAATTAGGTTAATAAATGCAAGGATAAAATGGAAAAAATAACTTCTAATAAATAAAAGGAAGGAAAAATGTATATGTGGGTCCTTATAATTTACATTAATTTTAATCAGGTCCCTATAATTTTTTTTTTAGAATTGAATATACTTTTATCCATCAAACACATTAATCCTTCCCTCCATTAAATCATTGAAATGCCTTAACATTTCAAGTCATGGTTTTGAGTCTGACCGATCAACATCTTCCATGGTAGCAGTTCTAGCAACAACCCCATCTGTGTCTTGCTGGAGCTGTTACTTGAGACGTTGATGGGTCAGAACCTTACTTAATGGTATCAAAGCATTTTAATGGTTTAATATTGGGAAGGATTACTGTGTTTAACGGGGTAAAAAGAAAAGGGTTCACTTGCAACAAACAAAACTACAAGGAACTAATTAAAAATTAATGTAAATTTTAAGGACCCATAAATATGTTTTCCCTAAAGGGAGAAATGACATTTTGGGACCATTTAGGATCAAGACATCAAATTTCAAGAGTCACAATTAAGAACTAACCTATTTTGCTTATTACTTAAAAGCAAAAAAGGTTATGGACTAAAATGATAGAAAAAACATAGTGATTTTCAAAAAATGTATAATTAAGTCAATTAAAATATATAGCTTCAATGATAAATTATCTAAACTCTCATTTCATTGCGTCTGTAAATGATTAACGCTCAATAATAAATTATGTAAGAATAGGTCTTAAATAATTTAACATTAAGCTTCCGATGAAAATGAATTTCTGGTTTCCACAACCCAACTTCTTGTTTTCAAACATGGTTGTATTGAGAGTAGGTTCTCTTCTATCCTTACTAGGGCAGGTGGGAAATATTAAAAAAAAAAAAAACCTGCACTCAAGGAACAAAAGGGGGAAGCATGAGAAAATCCTGCTCCTAATGTATTGTATCTCCAAAATAGTTGTAGACATTTTGGTTTATAACATTATTTAAAGATTAGTAAAGGGCTTTGGTCCTTTAATTTATTTTCCTTTTTGAAACTTCATCTTTTTTTGGTAATAGGAAACTCAATTTTTTATCTCCTTTAAATGATCCCATAAAATATTTTCCTTCCAATAAACAAACATTTTATTTGTAGCTTTTTCCTTGTGATATTTTTATTTCTACTTCTTGTGTTTTATTAGATTCATCATTTTAGAAAAAAAATTTCATATTATAAATATTTTTAAGGCCTGTTTGGATTTTAGTTGGATAAAATTGATTATAGAAAAATTTGTTCAATATAATTATTTTATTGTAATTAATTATATTATAATATGATTATGTTTAGAGGTAGAAAAATGGACGGGCTCGATCAATTTCTCAAAAAATGATTGATTTCTAAAGCTCAACCCTTATTTGAAAGACTCTAGGTTAGGCCCATAGCTCATTTTGTTTTTAAAATATTTTTAAAATAAAAAATTTAATAAAGTAAAGAAATACATATATAAATATAGAATCTTGATGAAGTTTTAAAATAAAAATAAAAATTTTCAATCCAAATCAATCTTATCAAATTCAATAAATACAAAAAATTATATATCATGGAGTACAACATTGATCAAACCCAAGAAATAGGCTTTACGAAGTAATTGTATTTAAGAAATTAATAAAAAAATCTACTAACATCATGTTAAAATAAATGGTAAAAGAACCAACAATAGCCCGAGCCTTTTTTCAGTGCCTACAGGGCCAGAGTTGAAAGCTCAATTTTTAAAAAAATTACTAATTTTTTAATCTTGAATTTTTATCTAAATAGGGCTTCCAAGTTCAGTCCTTATTCTTAACTTTAATTATATTTTGATACTATTTTTTAAATTAATTTTGATAAAATTGAAGGTGTTTAAATGTTTTTAGTCAAAATCAATTTTAATAATGTAAATATTGATAAATTAAAGTTGGTACATGCTAATCCCTCAGTTTTAAATTATAAGATATTTTTTAAAAGATTTGACATTTTAAAATATAATATACTTTGATAAAAATAATATTTCATTAATAATACTTTTTTAATATTATCCTTTTTAATATGCTCTCTTTTTTCCTTTTAAAAAATTAAGATTGTAAAGTGTATATAATAAGACTTTCCATCATTATTATAAAACATCTTTAATCACGTCACCAGAATTAAAGAAAGGTAATTAAGCTATTATTTGTTTGAAAATATAAAAACTTCCCATTTTACTCCCATTTAAATGAAACATTTTTAAATTTACATTACATTCATATAATTAAGAACCACCAAGTAATGTCTTATATTAAGAATCAAATAATTCTTATAGAAAGCATCTTATAACAGGGATGGGGGAGTATGTACATTACATGCACCAGCTTGTTCTGGCCAAAAAACAAAATATATATATATATATATATGAAAGTATTGAGAGGCAAAACTTTACATTCACATATTGTTTGATGTTTGGAATCATCAGCATAACTTTATTTCACGTAGATGTTCCTAAAAAAAATTAAATATTAAATAAATGCGAAAATGAAAAACTTCATTCTTATATTATAGCTTGCCCTAATTTTTGATCTAGTCCTTATATGTGTAACTCACTCCTTGTAATTTTTAACTTTTGGCAACCTTTTGAATGTACGAAATTACTCTCTCTGAATCACAATATAAGCCATAGTTAATTAATTCATGATTTATGAATAATTTTGTTGAAATATTTTCTTAAAAATATTCACATCTTTTTATTTATACTCTTATTAAATATTTTATATAAGAGATTAAGAGCCTTGATAATAGTAATATATTAAGCTTTTACCAGACACGCATGTAATTTGAGAAATGAACCACATCACTAATATATAATAATAAATTTTGTTATACAGTTCTTTATCGATATATTAACTGCAAGTTAAGAAATTTTTTTGCACGTACGTGCAATTATCAATGATCAAGTGAGAATCTCCATTGTAACATAAGAGGTTCAAGACTGCGAGGGAAGTCGCTTCTGATATTCCGAAAGAGCCCACATCGGAAATACATTTCTATGCATTGGGTAATGTAACATGCAGTGTTTCAAAGATGCTCCCGTCAATTCCTAAACACAAGTCCTCGACCACTAATTAATTGATTCAATAATCTAATAATCAAAACTAATATTTGATTTTTATGATAATTAAAAGAATGCGGGAGAAAGAAAAAACTCACTTGTTGCGGCCAATCTCCATCTTCCAACTGAGAATTCATCAGAAATTTTGCTCCACGATGAAGAGAAGTTAGGTCCCTCTCCGCCTATATATATCCAACAAAAATTAATATTTTTGTGAAAAATATGTGACTTTTTAATTTTATCCTTTACAAAAATTAATGACCAGAATGAAATGTGTACAGAAATTACAAGTTTGCCAACAACTTGATGTAAGTAAATAGGGACAATATTGGACAAAAAAAATCAACTACTACTCTCCCCATTTATTAAGGCAAAATGTTAAAACATATAAGGCGTTATGGGTATTTCTAGGTAGTAAATGAGATTTTTCAACAAATACTGTCAATTAAGGTCATAATTAATAAGATTTTGTAATTAAAACACCATATTAAATGGAGATAAATGTAGAAAGAATGTATAATTTAAACGATAATTGATTAACTCATCATAAGGGTGTGATTTTGAGTTAAAAATACCTTATAACATTGAACTAAATGGTTACATCTTTGTCCTATTTTTAGGATCAAATAGAATTTTAAAATTTTACCCTATAAGGGTCGAATGATATCTTGAGTATTAAGATATGATTTATTTACCATTGAAGAGATTTAAGATCAAAGTGTGTGTTGACTTACTTGGCCAGCATGAATTAGACCCATCATAGCCCAAGCTGTCTGTACTGCGTGTGACCGACTTCCTTCAAGTGGAACAAATTTCTGCAACATTAATCAACAAAAGCATCTGATGAGTTAGAGAACATGATTAAACAAAAACGTACAGTAAAATGGCATTAAATGGCTTCAATGATAAAAATCAACCTTTATAGCGCATGAAAGATAGCTCTCTCCCCACCCACCATCTTCATTTTGTATTGTGCAAAGAAAATTCACAGCTCTGTGAATGGTATTAGAGCTATCATAGGTCTTGCCAGCTGCATTAAGTCCACCAAGTGCGAACATAGTTCCATAAATGAAGCAAATTCCCCAATTTCCATACCATGAACCATCTTTTGTTTGAATCTCTTCAATGTATCTTACAGCATTAGTAATAAAATTCTCGATCTCCTTTTTTCTATGAGTTGGATGCAGCTTATTGAAAAGAGCTAAAGCCTGTATTGCAGACCCCGTGCATTCAACAGCTTCATGCTCAACTACTATGTCCTCCAAAAATTCTATAGGATTCAAAACCTGATCATCATACCCAAAAAAGCAAATTATAATGCATTATTGACTAATAAATTCACAGATTTAGTTCAGTTTATAAAATATGAATATATATAGCCATATAGGGTTGTTATTAATTCTTACTTCTAACCATTCTTGTGCTTTGATTGGTTCCCAGGCTGCTAAGCCGCCTCTTTTACTCTAAAAAATTCATCATCAAGATATTTTAAAATTATTATAACACCATATTAAAAAGTCATTAATTAAATCAAATTCAAAAAGACACACTTGAAGTGATAATATTATATTGACAGAATCATATAATCTCTCAAGTTCTACATGTTCACCCACAATCTCCGATGGCAGCTTTGATAGAAGAAGACAACACTGAAACAACCAATAACACCATATGGTAATACAACATATATATGAAATATGAAGTTGAACATTAGGATGACATAACCAGTAGTAGAAATCACCTTTAAACCTTCTGATGTGCAATCTGAAACCTGAACTCCTTGGTCTCTATCAGAGAAGGCCCATGCTCCTTTAGAAATGTGGCGATACATACTCTTAAAGTCTCCAAAAGGATTGTCTTTAACCTAACCAGATTGTTATTTGTCATGAAAAAGAAGCGTATAAGTTCACTAGTCATAAAGGTCATTTTTAATGTATGTGCACAAACATGAATCTCCCTCAAGATGACTAAGCTAGTGCATCAACCAATCAATAATTAATAGTAATCTTAGGTAGAAAGAAACAAACTTGAGATTCCTTAATGAAATAATGTCCTCTTGCAAGTGTTGGAGTAATTTCCTCAATTAGATAAGTGGCAAGCAAAGCTTGAACGGCAAAGCAAGCATCCCATGTTTGACTTCCGAAACTCTAACAAAAAATATTAAACATCCAACTTATATTTTGGAGTTCAATAAAAAGTTATATGTTATTCAATAAAAACAACTCTTTATTAATAAGTAAGCTAGAATCTACATTAGCTGCAAAATATGAGTGTATATGTGTTAGAACCTGCATAGTCATTCCATCTTCTGAAACCCATAAAAAATCAGGAACCCTAGCAAGATGCTTCTTAAAGGCATCTCCATTTGGATCTTCAGCCCAACAAGCAATCATAGATAATGACTGTGGCAAGTATAAAAGTATTTCTTGAAAATTAGAATTCTTCTCTTACTAATCATAAATCCAATATATTCCAACTCGTTGGATGGATATTAGTTATTGAATATAGAAATAAAACCTTCTCCACACATGCAGCTGTTATGTAGCGGGTATTTTCATCTTCATAGTGTACATGCTTCATTGTTACTTGAAGCGCCTTTTCTCTTATCCACTTGTTGAAGGGCCAACGAGTAAGAAGTGGTTCAGTTAATATATATAAACCATCCCAGAGGAGATCTTGTATCCAGGGATGAGGCCATTGAAGATCCTCCTTTAATATGCAAAAACTATTTTCATTAGTATATACATATATAACAATGGAAAATCATCTAATTGAATAATATTAGAGACAATAGAAAACCTTCGCACAAAGATGGCGAGCTTTGTTCCAATTAATTTGGTTGTAAGGTTGAACATGAAGTTCTAGTCTCAGCTGAAGAATAAGTGGTGTGATCGGACCCACAAACCTTTTTCCATATAAGTAAGACATAGGCATGTAGACTGATCGACAATAGAACCACATTTTAGCTGCATTCATTTGATTGAGGTACGTAGAATAGTAAACGAATCAATATTTGGAGATAAACATCAATACATGTAGAGCTTTATATATAGTTCAATATTCGGTAAAAATGATTTACCTGGATGCATGGGAAGAAATGAAGGCAAGAGCCAAAATTCAGGAGGCATAGGGTTGCTTCCAGACCATTCATATACACCAAGTATCTATAGTAGATGATTGATATATAACAAAATTAAGAATATTCAAAAAGTAGTTCTAATTAAGACAAACTAAATTAATGATTAAAAACAAGAGACAAACACAAAGCCAAGTCTTCCCCCAAGATGGTATGTAAGTGACACCGCCATGATCAAAAATCCATTTTCTAGCTCTAATACAAGTATTGTCTTTGCCTCCATCAGGCCCTTCTCCCAAAATGCGAATGCATATATAGCTCAATGCCGTGCTGAACATGCAACTAGGACTCTCTATATGTAGCCCCCATCCTCCATCTTCATTCTTCAGTATTACATATATTCCATCCACATATAGCATTAGTTCATTTCAAATTTTACAATGATAAGTTAATAAAATGAGATAGGTTTGAAACTTCACCTGGTGGTTATATAAGAAACGCAGTATCTCTTTTTGGTACTCTTTAGGAAATACATTATTAAGATGTCCTGTAATATACGTGACAAATACCTGCACCATACATTCACCACTAATTTGAATTTTGAATCGCTTTTGTTGTTAATTTGAATTTTCAAATAGCTTTTGTTGTTAATGTGTGTGTGTGTGTATGAAAATATTTGTGAAAGAGTTCAACGACGAAGATAAATAGAGATATGCTATAATTAAGCATAGACTTACCAAAGGTTGAACATAAAAGAGGGGTCCAGCAATTTGAGCAGGCCAATGGCCATCATTAGCTTGCAATGCACACAAGTAATGCGTTGCTCTTTTCACTATTTTCTTAACTTTCTCACATGTTATTTCTTCTTCATCCTTTATCTTCACACTTGGTATTGTTTGTTTGAACTTCTTTTCTCTTAGAAACTACATCACATTAATCAAGCAATAATTCAACAATTACTGGCTAAGCATCCACTCTAGACTTAGGATACTAGTACTACAAAAAAAAAACAACAACAACAGCAACAAGAAAAGAAAGAAAGAAATTTGCGAAGGAAATTTACAATAAAAATGAAGAAAATTTTGTCACAAGTTGATTTTGTGATGTGAAAAAAATGGATCAGTTACCAAAACATTGATCAATTAAACCAGTTTTTGATTGGTGTTTTCAATTTTTGATTGATCTTTATTTAGTCAGGTTGTAGTGATACTTCAAATCAGACTAAGGACTGGTTCATTGACTTTTGATTGAATCATCAGTTGGTCTAGTTCAAATTTCTTAGCAATGCATTTTCCTTAAACTATTAAAGATGCTTTAATACATGTTAAATAATAAATGCTGACCTTATATTGCAAAGATAGTAACAAGCCTAGTGGAGGGGCACACAATAGAACCAAGGGTTCAAGACAGCGTGACCCAGTCCTATTTTGGGCTTGTTTCATATAAGCCCAGCCCTTTGAATTGAAATGAAAATTTAAAAGAGTGACCTTCTAATATGTTTTTTTCCTAATGTCTTTTGTAATGTTGCTTTTTTTTTATTTCCTTTTCTTCTTCCTTTAGATTACTAGCCTCTACATGGATGGAATCAGAGCCAAATTAAAAATAAAACATTAAATGAAGGCACCAAAATCTATTTTAATATTTTTTTTACAAGTAAAATGTTAAAAATTTTCACAGCAGTATAGGAGCGTGGAGGGGAGGTTTCCCTTGCCTCTCTCTAGATTCATCCCTGTTAGTGCCGGAGACAATGAGACAACATGCAACCAGAACTAGAGCATCAATCTCCGGTGGTGGGGTGACAAGCTCATCAGCATGTGAGGAGGAGACAGTGAGAAGTTCAAAGATAAAAGTGTGTCATTTTGATATTTTTCTTTCAAAATCATTAAAAAAACAAATTCTACCATTTAAGGACTATATGAAAATATTTCTCATTTTATGTAAAAGTAAATGACTCAAACAAAATAGAAAAAAAATTGGGAAGGCAGAACATTATAAAATACATAAGAAAAAGATAGGCCACTAGCTCACATAAAGAAGCTTGGGCTCATTTAGTCTGAGATAATGCATGCATTAGAGGAGAAGAAAGAAATAAAGAAGCAAGAACCTGGAATCGCCAAAGACGATCACCACAGGCTCTGAAACGGAAGCGATTGGAAGAGAAATGTTGACGAGCAGCTTCAACTTCATCTCTTTCCTCTTTGGTTCCATCTTCTGCATGAAACTCCCATGTCTGCCTCCCCACGAAGTTGTTTGTACTGAATATGTAAGGGTCAGTCCCTCCCTCTGCTATCTTCAGCCTCCACATCTTCTTCCTCTCCAACTAGCAAAGCCTATAGCAATTATATATATAAAAGCATATATATATATATATATATTTATAACAACTGGCAAACACGTACACTTGACAATGTTAACTAAAGAACGAGAGAGCTTAATTAGGCAATAACAGATAGTAGTATATAAAGGCTACTATATAGAATATATAGCATATGGGCATCCACACCACGTACCCTTGAGCATTTATAATGTGACTGAAGCCATGTCGCCACACCAGCCTGTTGTTGTCTCCATAGCTAGCAGGTGGAAATAGCAATATTAGAGAGAGAGAGAGAGAGCGCTCTTTATTGCCTTCAATCATTATAGTTTCTGATCCGCCACCGACGGGTACCCCCTATTTATAACACTGTCAGAAAACGGTCCGAATTTAATATTTTTTATTTTTATTTTTAAAATAAAAAAATTAATAAATTTGTTCAGCCTTATGAATAATCTTGATTTAATATGAATTGTCTAGATTTAATATTAATTTTTTTATAAATTAATTTTTTAGATATATTCAATTTAGACAGTACAGATTTAATATTAAAAATTTTTATAATTTTTTATAAATTAAATGTAGATTATTTATATTAAATTTAAACTATTCAAGCTAATAAATAAGATTATTAAAAAAATTTTAATGTATATAATTTTTCATTTTAAAAATATAAAATTAAAAATTAAAAAATATTAAATATGAACGGCTGAAATTTCTCACCTCCTCAACGAAAGTGCGGAGGGCTTTCCTCAATAATATCACTGTGACATGTGAGATGGCATGAGCTTCAATCCAAAGTGCCACTTTGACGTACCAATGATAGTGTTTTAAAAATTGGATAGGACAATATACTGAAAAGGTTAGTGGATTAGGATTTTATAGTTTTACTAATTAGATTGGTAGTCAAACCAGCAACATAAACAATATATTCATATATAAACATATTCAATGTAGTGGCCTATACTAACTGTAATTTAGAAAAATGACGTCTAAATTTTAAATTAAGATTTATAATTTATCAGACTATTTTTAATTTATAACTTAATTAGTGTGAAAAACATTTCATCTTTAAATTTCGGTTACAATAGTTGAGATGTGTATTTTTATTAGAAGATTTATAAATAATTATATTTAAATTATTAAATATTAAAAGAATATTGCTTAAACAATATATTATTTTTAATTACTTGTCAATGTTATATAATTATCCGATAATAACTTAACAGTGGGTGAGAGTGGTTAGTCAGGATGATATCTTAGCTTTTTACGTGAGAAAGAAACAGAAGGTGTCTCTGGGCTCGACGCTCAGTGCCCAGCGATAATCAATAATGTCTTTAGGGGAGGCAGAGGTTCACTATCCAAAAGATGGATGATTTGTTGTTGGGGGTCTCCACTTGGGCTTCTTAATTCAATAGGCAATGATTTTGTGACAAAGATGGGGGTGCTTTTTTGTGATGCTAGTAGATGATTTGTTGTCATTGCTTATGATTTGGTTTCTCTCTGGGTGGAATATGATATGTGGTGGTGACAAATCTGCTGTTTGCATAATAATTATTGTTTAAATAGGGATAGGATTATTAGGATGATTTTATGAACTCTCATCCCTATCGTTTGATTTGACTTCTAGGTTTTTTTTTTCATGAGAGTAGGGGCATTTCTTGCTTTTTTGTTTCATTTTAAAGCTTGATATGGTCTTGGTGATGTTGTTTCCTTTATTTCTTTGCCTGATTCTGCATTGGGTTTAAGGTTTTTTATGTTTTATTATTTCTCTTCTTTGTATTTTATTTGTTGTACCTTATTTGTCTTTGTAAACCTATGTTTTTCAGTGACATTTCATGTTTTTGACTGAGAAAAAAATTATAGGGTTATATATGGCTCGGCACTTACTAAAAGTTGCATATTAAGATAAGGTCCAGAAACCGAAAATATTTGCATATAAGAGGGTACAGTACAACAGTGAAATTGTACTCAAAGTAATAGTAATGCCTCCGTATATGGCAATGTATTGATTGGTCAACAATAATTTTTTATTGATGAGGCAGAAATAGTCATAGTCCTCTGTGTGGCTGACGGAGAACGGTCCCATGTTGAACGGGCACTCCAATTATGCTTCATCCAACCTAAATTGGTCATTTTCTGGTAAAAAAAATTGAAAGTAAAATTAATAACAGTAAATTAATTAGTCGAAAATTTAAATGATTCCTTTACCATAAGTCAGAAATTACGTCAATGTTTATAAATAGTGGGATGATGCGTGGATGTGTGGGAGATTACAATTCACAAGGCAAGCACTTCGAAATTCGGGAATGCATGCTTGGGAAGGTGTGTGTAGAAGCTGGCTTCGCCTGCGAGGGACGCTCCCAAACTTGGACAGTCCATATTAAATTTTTTTTTTTATTTTTTATTTAATTTATTAAACTATAACATTGTATAATTATACAAAAATTTAATAAATATGTATACAGTCTTGACAGTTTTAGATTAAACATTTAAATTTATAAAAAATATAAAAATTTTAATAATAAATATATTTGTGTTTTTAAAAATAAGAATGTATATTGTATTTGATTAATTTACTAATATGCAATTTTATTAAAAATCTTATAGATCGATACAAAGGAGTAACAGCGGCGTAATTTTTAGTATTTCTATGGGCTCGCTAAGGATAAACCCAAAAATAATTCAAAATGAAATGGGTAAAATAATTTTTTTTAATGTTCAAGATTATTCATGAAAGACATTGATTTTTTATTGAGAGTTTGTTTTAGATATAGCCCATATTATAAGATCAAACCAAGCAAATATTTTAATATTTATTATATTATGCACATTATGGTTAAAGTATAAATTTATCAATTAAAGTTTTCACTCAGACGCACCTAATATCTTAATATTTTTTAGCTATTAATTTCAGCACACTCCCCACATTTTTTAAATGGTAGTACCAAGTCACCCTCTAAATCACAAACATCACAAACTTGATTGTTAGTTGATTTATTTTGCTTAGGTGCATGCTGACATGGCATATTTTAAAGTTAAAATTGAAAAAAAAAAATGAAAGGAAAACACGTACACCTCGAAAATACTTCATCTCCCTTATACTTGAAGAATGTCGATCAGGAATTGAAAACCCAAATAAATAACACAAGGGTTTTAAACCTCTAAGAATAGGCAAAAACCCATATCAAGAATTGAAATTCTCTTTATATGAGCCAGGCAGAGATTTAACAAAATCTATCCCAAAAAGACCATTGATGCACATCTAGCCACACCCAAGCCCAAGTGATGAAGCCAAGGAGATGAAGCTTCAATGAACGTTTGTTGATCTAAAAAGATCAAACTCATAAACATATCGAAGGAGAAATCAAAAAGAATCAAACCCAAAAACATAAAAAATCATTACAAGATTATTTAAAACAGAAAACACAAAGACAAATTAGAATACCATAATCTCATATTTACAACACAATACAAAATATAAGTCTCAATAAAAAGTCAAGGCTTCAAATTTGACGAACTCAGATCGTGCTTAAAACTCTCAACTCCCAAAGTCAACATACATACCGCTTTACAAGTAAAAATCAAGGCTTTAAATTCCATTCCCTTCCTAAACTCAAGGCTATGCTCGAGCTCTTCCATCATGCAAGGACGTTGATGAACTTAAGGGCATGAGATTTATGTTTAAATTAAACCTTTTTTTTGGGTTTTGCGAAAGAAGACTATTAAAGAACAGGGGAGAAGGAGGCATAAAGAAGATGAATTGGTAATGATGATGCAAATAAATTCAAGCAAGCAATTGCATCCTAGATCCAAGCCTTGATGCTCTTATGGTCTACAAACAAAGTTCAAGTCAAAAATTGGACTTAATCGTAACCTTGGAGTCTGAAATTCGCAAACGGCTTAGGTGGTAAGACAAAACAAGATCGACGAATAGATGCAAACAAATGGATCTAATAGATTCCTTTCCCTTTTCTTCACAAATGCTATGCTAGCTTATGTCGACAATGATACGATTGATGATAGGGAGGGGAAGCAGGGGAAGGGTTCACAATGGGTTTGGAATTTTGATCATGATTGGAATATGGGTTTAGAGGAGAGGAGGAAAGAGAATTGCACGTGAAAGCTAATGTGGCAAGCCAACAGGCTATTAATGATCAAAACTTTAACTTAACAATCAATGTATCAAATTTTAATGGAGGGCGAGATTTTATCAATTAAAAAATGTTAGGGGTAAAAATTACACTAAAAAATACTTAAGAATATCACATGCATCTAAGTGAAAACCTTGAGAGTAAATTTATACTTTAGGCTCTTAATTATATTTGTCAATGATATGTCATTTTATATCAATAATAAACTCTTTTAAATTTTTAAATTTTTAATAATAGATCTGTTATATATTCATGATAAAATTTTTATATATCAATTCTCTTTTTTAAAATTTGATTCATATTTTTTAGATATAAGATTTTTTTTTCAATGAATTAATTATCCTGCTTTTATTTTCACTTTGAAACTGTTTTTTTTTTAATAATATGAGATTTCGTGTTGTAAAATATAAGAAATAGTCTCCGTCAACATTAACAAAATATCTTCCCAAAGATACTGAACAATAGGTGGACCCTCTCAACAAATTGCTGCAAACTAAAAGAGCATTGAAAGTCCAAACAGTCAGCAACTTTGTAGAATTTCACGGAAAGAGTTTGTTAAAATAAAAGACAAATTGAAAGGATAAAAAACTCTTTCTATTTTAATTCATGGGAAAATGATAATTTTAGACTCCATAAAAATATCAATGACAGTTACAGATTCTTAATTATTGAAATTCCACCAATAAATTTTAGTTCTTACTTATAATAAATTATCTTTAATAAGGTCCACTCTAGTCACAATCTTTCCTAGCATACTAGCGTGCTTATATAATTGAGCTCTGTGGATAGATATGCATATATAACCTCTAATTGATCTTCACGTTGGAGAAAAAAATTGGGAGAAGGTTTAATGCGTCTGTAATTATATAATTAACTATATAATTATGATTATAGTGATTTTTTTTGGATGAAATGGATAAAAGGGTATAGTTATATATCGTAATTATAATTTAGCTCACATATGTTTTTATTAATATTTTTTTACACTTCACATATATATTTTACTAATTATTCATAACAAATATGAGAAAAAAAAGTACTCCATTCGTTAAAAAATATAAGGTATTTTTTGAAGAATTTGGATGTTCAAAAAAGTAAAGTAATTTTAGTCTTTTGAGACGTGACCATTATCTTTTTTCAAAAGTGCCCCTATTAA